GAGAAGAAGATGAAAATGTGAAAATTATGGACAACGACAGACAACGGACAAATTTTGATCAGAAAAGCTCACTTGAAATTGGTTCCCCACAATCATTGATGATTCAACAATAATTTGAGAGAGGAGTAAGAGGGCTGTAAATGTTATGTGATTCTGGTTCATTTGTGGTCAATTTCCAGATAGGTAATAAATTTCGGTGGAGGGTCAATAAAGTAAGTACAGTTATTGTTGATGAAAGTACTCTGCGTGTGAACATCATGTAGGGATCAGTCATATATATCCTATGAAAGACATTACTTGATGATAAGGAAGTATACAATATGTCCAGAGTTTTGGGGATCAAGGGTTTTACGCAAGAGTGAGTGAACAAACCCTGCGTAAGAAAACACAGCATATCCATGTTAATCCTTACTGATTTGGTCCATGTTATCACTTATGATCAACATACTTTGAATTGAGAATATCTTTCCAGTTTCCATTGTCTCTCCAACATGTCTCTATAGGTAATCTAGTTAAACCTCATTTTCTCGAACGAGGTGGGGCTGAAAAAAAAACCTTTGAGATATCAGAGAGTTTAAAGTATCAAGAGTTAAATACTTTTGACAAGAGGCCCATAGAACAAAACTCTTACCTGAGTAGCTTTGACTATTGTGTTCTTTGCCAGATGTCCCCCTAACAATACATATTGTAATCCAACTGGTCATAATTTGGACAATTTAAAATCTACACTACACCAGGATGCTTCCACATAAGTTTCAGCTTTTCTGGCCCAGTGGTCCTTGAGAAGATTTTTTTATATAATGACCCCACCATATTTTGGTCTTTTCTTGATTATCTCCCCTTGTGATGGACTTGGCTCTTCCTTTTAACAATTTAAACCCCCCTTCACCCAATGATGCTTTGAGCTAAGATTGATTTAATTTGGCCCAGTGGTTCTTGAGAAGAAGTCAAAAATGTGAAAAGTTTACAGACGGACGAACAAACATCTAGACAGACAAAATGTGATAAGAAAAGCTCACCCAAAGCTTCGCCTCAGGTGAGCTAAATAGTAGATGGAATTCCTACATTACTGAATTCCACATATCCATGTCGGTGTTCAAGATATTGAAGTTCAACTGCATATATAAACAGTTTTGTGTGGGTATCATTAATCAAAAAGAAAATAAATTTTCTCTGAGTCTGAGGCTTGAGTAATTTCAATGCATATAGATATCCTAATAAAATGTACCGTATATCCGTTTTTTTGCGCGTTGGAAATTTTGCGAAAAAGGGTAGATTTGTAGAGTTTTTATTTTGAGTAAGTTATTTTTTACGATTAAGGATTTTTTGTTCAAAATGGTAATGTTTTTATGTCATATTATAGCTGATATAATTTTTGTGTGTTTTAAATTTTGCGAATTAAAAATGGTCGCAAATAATGCGAAAAATAGATCATCGCGAAAAAAAACGGATATACGGTATGTTAACTAAATGCTTTTACAAAATTAACCTGAATTCTTTGTTCCAAAATTGGCATTGACATATGAATGCACATGTATAGGCAACAGGGGAAAAAATATACGTGAAATGATGACGTGAGTAGGAATCAACTGATGATGTCATTTTTCTTAATACAAAAAATGTCACGACAGGCGAATTATGTCTCTATTGTACAAAATAAACACACAAAGATATCTGTTATCGATGCTCTGTGAACGAGATATTGCATGGGCTGCAGTTTTACAATGCACTTTGAAAAGATACGCACTTTGAGAAAAATCAAAGTGCGTTAATAAATTTGGGACTAATTCAACGCACTTTGAAAAAGTAAAATTTCTTTTCAAAGTGCGTTAATATCGACCATATATATTCAGGCGCGGATCCAGAATTTTTTTCCAGGGGGGTCCAACCCAGTGTCATGTTGTAAATTTTGAATTTACCGGGTGGCAGTAAATATAAAATTTACAACATGACAACTTGTCCCTATTCAAAAAAAAAATCCAACCTCAGAATTTGGTTGACAAGCAAAAAACAAAAACAAAAAAAAAAAAAAAAAAAAGAAAGAAACAAAAAAAACCCCCCCTAAACTTAACTTGCCCAAACTTGAAAATCCATATCGTGGTGGTGGTGGTGGTGGGGGGATTGACTTTTGACTGCAAATGCTTTATACATATTACTTTTCATGCCAACTTAATAAACGTCCGCGTTTTTAAGGGGGAATCCCTTTTCTAGAGTAACCTTTTTCTTGGTTTAGTGTATCAATTTAATATCTTTGCAAATTCTAGACCCCCTTCCCCGACCCCCTCTAGATCTGCGCATGTATATTAACGCACTTTGAAAAAAGTGTATGGTCGATATTCTTTCAAATCTTAGATATGATAAATAATTGAACCTGTTGGATAACTTTTCGGTGATAAGGTCACTTCAGGATGTGAAAGTGAGCAATTTCTATTTTTCCATACTTTGAAATTTCTTTCTCTCTTCAATGTTTAAAACAGTACTTTTTCCAATTTGCATGCATTTTATGTTAACTAAAATTTATCGAAAGTTTTCAGCGTCATAGTAGTTATGCAAATACAAATTTTGATGTAGCATTAGGTACCTGGAAGGATGCTTAGGCACACGAATGTTTTACAAAGATATTGTTACATAATAAAGACATAAAGAATTGGGGATTACTTTCGGGGGGTGGGGGGGGGGGGCAACGTTCAATTTGCTACCAATGCCTATGTAAAAAAAAAGAGCTGGGCTGAGAGACGTTCTACTCGTCTTCTCCTTGTACTCAATAAGGTTAAATCAATTCACGTTAATTAAAAGTTTTCGGAAGATATGATTATTACAAATTAAGAGCCATTCTCTGTAATGATTTGAAATTTTATATAGGAGCTGTGGCACGCATAGTCTCAGAATTTCTCCAAACTCTCTATGATAAAAGGCATTGATACCCTGAACTGAAATCAGGCAAAAATTGGTTGCTATGTTTTTTAGTTACCATGGCAACATGTCTTAAAGTTCGAAAAATGTCATTTTTTAACATGTTTAGAGCCCCATAGTTAACATTTGCGGCAAAGCAAGCAATTGTTAATGACTGTTTCCAAAAGTTGAAGGTAAGATGTCTCAAATGCATGATAAACATGTTTGGTAAATCAACTATTACATACGTTACTATGGTAACAAAGTATTCAAAAGTAAAAAACATATTCATTGAAATTTATGAAGTCATACTCGTAAAAATGAAAAGCAATTATAGGATAAAATGTTACCAAATAATAGAAAAAAGAGTCTTGAAACACATACCAAGAAAAAATATGATATTTCATTTTGGTTGGCAATGGTTGCCAAGGTTTTTATGCCCCAGAGAGCCTTCAAAGTAACACTATGTATGTTTAGATATGATCCAATCTTTAAAAAAAAGCACATTTCCTCATAACTAATGATCAATTTTATAAGATGTTGGTGTGCTCCAAATTTTCCCATTTCAAAAAATTCAGATTAGATTCTTTAAATAGAGCGTTGCTATGGAAATAAGCAGAAAATATATGCTTAAAAACCTGAAAAATATTTTGTTTCCTTGGATACGTACCCTTAAATGTAGATTCCCAAAACTTTTATGATAGATATTTATTAACAGCTAGCTTGACTTTTAATTTTGACTATCATCCAATCTCTAAGTGGATGCAAAAAGTTTGGCACACAGGGTTTAATATTGATATAAAGTTAAAAAAATCGAACATTTTCCCTTCTTGGTAACCATAGCAACAGTGTTGTTTTATTCATCAAATTTTATCAATATATGATATTTAACTTCAGTTCGAACAGATAAGACTATTCCAGCTGAGCTCTTTAATTTGTTTCTTGATTAAATGGCAATTTAATTCTTAATGCAGCGGAAAAAAATTCAGTTTTAAGCACTGGTACTTTGTTTCCATGGTAACACTACAAAGTAGCAATTATACCCAATTTTTCTTATGGTTTTGGTGTTGCAAGGTCCTAAGGATGCATATTTGCCAGTCTTGAATTTTCATGTTTTTCCTCAAGACAGTAGCATTAACCCAATCTTAGTTACTGGTTTTGCATGGTTACACTGTGTTACCATGGCAACCATAAAAGTTATTTATAGAATAATATTGCTTATACTTATATACTTAAGGTCAAACATTTTCATTGTTTTTCTTAAGTCAATGATTGAGTTTTAGCATGTAACACCTACCATTAGTGAATATGGAGTGTTTTTCAGCATATTTCAGCATTTTAAATGTATTCCAAATATACCCTTGGTTACCACTTACTTAGAGATATATTCTAAACAGTTTCTTCACAGTATAAGTGACATCAAGGTGTCATGTTTTTGTTAGAATGGTTTGTTTGCTTTTTCTAGTTTTTATTAAGCCACAGTCAGGATTTAAAGTGGCTGAAAGTCTCGATTTTTCAAACTTTTCCGGCTGTTGCCATAGCAACCGAGACACTTAGCAACGAAATTTTGTTTGATATTTGTTTCTGGTGTCAAGTACTAAGCATGGGTGAAGTTTCATCAAAATCGGTGACCATGCGTGGCAACGAAGTTTAAGTGGTTACAGAGAATGGCAATTAATTCTCTCAATTACTAAAATCGAAGTCTAGAAATTTTGTTTAATACATGTTTTTTTTTTCAAAGTGCGTTAAATTTCCCCATGGTAAAAATGTTGATGTACACTCTTAACGCACTTGAAGGTAATTAATTTTTATTATTTATTATTTTTTTTTACAATGTAATGAATGTTGCTAGACGAGCCAATCAGAGAGATTAGACTTGTACTGTAGTGTAACCACACAGAATTAAAGATTATCATAGATTTTTGTAATGGTTAAAGCTAAGGAGCGTGAATTTGATGATCTTCAGTCTTTGAACTGTGTCAACCAAAGGCATTTCGCTTAAGGTTAAAAAAAGGGGGGTGATAAAAGTTCTTTTAACCTTATAATCGCTGCAAGAGCGATAACTCTAATTTCAGGGCGATCAGAAAACCTGAACGGTGAACCGTGGAGAAGACAGGTTTGGGCGGACACCATGAAGACGTGATGAACAAAGAACTGACGAATGACTTCTGTTATTCTAGAGACCAATTGCAATGTGAGACAAGTTTTCTTCTAAGTGAGTACAACGGTAATTATATTTAGAATTTCATTAAAGAAATTATTCTTGCAAATGTTGTACTTTCGGTTTGTATATTTTCATGATCATTTTTGAAAAGGTCATTTTCAATTTACCCTAAAATTGAAACTTGAATTAGTTAAGTCTGTAAATATGCAATAAAGTTGTTAAAAATAGATTCCAACATTAACAATTTGTATTTCTAAATACCATATTTCATGTAATTATGTACCTTTATTATACAGTTAGATACAAGGAAGTGATATTCATTAGTATTTATTGACCAGTCCAAATGATTATCATTAATTCATAAAAATGCAGGATTAATTTTAGTAACAATGCTATTCTTTATTTACAGAATATCTACAGAAACTATGGATCCCCACCTCAGTGCCCAGGATGTGATCAGATGTGACCTTTGTGAGACAGCTATAGTACAGATGTACTGTGATTTCTGTCATGTCAAACTCTGTAAACCCTGTATTGGAGAACACATTTCTGATGAATATGACAAACATAAAATTGTCCCTTTCCAACAAAGAAAATCCACCTTGATTTATCCAAAGTGTTCAACACATCCAAACAAATCATGTGATTTACAATGCAGGGAATGTAACTTTCCTGTTTGCTCCTTATGCTCTGCATCAGAACAGCATAAAGGTCACAATTTCTTAGTCCTCACAGAAATATACGACTCAAAGAAAAATGATATTGCAAAAGATACAGAAGAATTAAAAAACATTATTTATCCTAAATACAAAGAAATCACAAAAGATCTAGAAACACAGATGGCTAACTTGGATGGAGAATATGAGAAACTTACAACAGCCGTGACAGAACATGGAAAACAATGGCACAAAGAAATTGACAATATCATCAATGCTATGAAAAAAGAAATTGATGATTTTAAAGTAAAACACTTTGACATTATGAAGAAACATACAGAAGAAGTTAAACAAATACAGGCTCTTATTGAACAAACTCTGCTCAACCTGAAAGAAATAGAAGAATCAAATGAAGTGTCCATGACCATGGAATACAGCTCCAGAAACAAGGAATTCAGCAAACTTCCTTCAAAAGTATCACTGCCCATTTTTAATGCTAAACAAGTAGACAGAGAACAGCTCTACAAGTTGTTTGGATCTCTTACACCATTATCTACTACATCAGAAGAAAATGACTACAAACTTAAGAAACCAGAAACATCAACCAGAGAACTGCTGGAAGAACCAGAACTTATCACTTCTATAGAAACTGGGTATAAAAAACTCCACAATATTACCTGTATCAATGAAGAAGAAATCTGGACAAGTGGAAGAGTCAGAGATATGAAATGCTTTAATATACAAGGCTCACTTCTCAAAACAATTAGAAAAAAATTAGGGGAATGGCCAAATGATATAGCAGTGACAGGTGATGGAGATCTAGTGTACTGTGATGGGAAGAAAGGGACTATTAATAAGGTTACGAATGGGCAGACAAAGAAGATGATCAGACTACCGGACTGGACACCCAACAATCTCTGTGTCTTGTCCTCTGGTGATCTCCTGGTCACCATGTTCAGTGATGATGATACACAAGCCAAGGTTGTCCGCTACTCGGGCTCCACAGAGAAACAATCAATCCAGTTTGATGAGGAGGGTAAACCTCTGTATTCAGCAAATGACAAAGCTAAGTACATCAGTGAGAACAGAAACCTGGATATCTGTGTGGCTGACAGTGAAGCTGGTGCTGTTGTAGTTGTCAACCAAAGTGGAAGACTCCGATTTAGATACACTGGTCATCTTCCTACTATAAAGAAGGAACCATTTGAACCTTTGGGCATCACAACAGACAGCCAGAGTCAGATCCTGACAGCAGATGATTATAACCACTGTATCCACATCCTTGACCAAGATGGACAGTTCCTTCGTTATATAGATAACTGTGATCTGCAGCATCCATTTGGTTTATGTGTGAATGAAAATTATTTGTTTGTTGCTGAATGGGAAGGAAAGTTGAAAAAAATTAAATACCTTAAATAGAGATGTAGTAAATATATTTTGTATATGCTTCTGAAAGGTGGTCATAATGGGTCTATTCTTTATATAAATTTGAAATATTTCATTTTGTGAGATAACATTTCATTGCAAAGAATATTTTTTTCTTCAAGTTTTCAGAAGATGATATGTGGAAAATGTAGACTAAATAAACATGATAAATTTCAAATTATTTTCAGAAAATTTGATGAAATTTTTATGAAAGGATGCCACATTGTTATAATAAGGATACAATATTAGATATACATGTACATTGAGATCATGATATGCTGGTTTTCATTTGAATTGAATGGAATTAATTGTCAGTTCTTATTTAAAATAATTTCTTCTTAAGTTTATAGGTTCAAGACATTGTAAAAAGATGCTGTATATTATGCTTTTAGTGCGTATGTTTGTATTTTTTGTTATATTTAAAACAATTCTTTAAACGTTCTACATTTAGTGGTGTATTATATTTAGCGATTTTGGTGGAAAAAGAGTCCGCTAATTCAAGCTCATTGCTAGTGCCTTAAATTGTATATTAACATTTATAGCTACCTTTAGCACATTCATTAGCATTAAATCAAATCTACGCTTACTTGTTGAATATTGAATTTCCGTCAAATATCGTAGTTGCCAAATGTAATACAATTTCAGTTTTATCATAAAATATGAAATAAGTTGATTTTATTTTGTTATAAATTAGATATCAAAGGTAATGTGGTATTCTATGTAGAAAATTAAGGACTGAAAGTTGAAGTTGGACTCTAACCCCTATCCCCGCATGAAAGATTTAGAAACTTTCAACGGAATATCAAATCAATTACAAGTAAATGCTATAGGTGCCTAGGAATTGAGTCCACCTCTCCCTATCTAGTTTTTTTCGAACTGAAAAAAAAATTGGCGATAACTGCAGGTGATTTATATTTTAAAATATCCACAATAACACAAATCTGTAAACTGGTTATAAAATTGGACTCATTGAAAGTTCAGAGATGAGATCTTGTTTCCTGGATGATTATGTATTGATCAGGCAGAAGGGATATTTGTGGTAACTTTTGATTTTTTTTTTTGTCGATTAAAAAAAGGCATTTCAATTGGTTTGAAATATGTATAAGACAAAATATAACCAAGTTATAAGTTATATCATTTTAAAAACTATGGAATTGAATTTAAACAAAATGATGAAAGTCCCAATCAGCTATTGTGGCAGACTATTTGGTGTTCTATTAATTAAAGTCTCATAACAACTTTCCAATTCATAAACTAGAATTCCCATGACAACGTAAAATACTGGGTTTTTGACATCATTGACAGCTGCTTTCTTTTAATAAAAATGTGACAAGTAATTACCTTGTCATTGGTCATTTGCAAAATGATTTTATTAAAAACATTCTATTTGTAAATACAATTTCTTTGAAAGCTTATATCAAAAAGATGCTTGAATTTAAATGACAATATCGAATTGGTTTTTGGAGACAAGGGCTTCCAACAGTCTACTGAGTTTTGGAATCCCAACCTATTTTTGTATCTATATGAAGCAGGATTTGTCCAAAATTTTCATATCAGTGAAATATTCTGGAGAGGGACATTAAACAGTATACAATCAATCAATCAAACTTAGCGAGATATCAAAGGACTATAAGACATGTTGGTCTGGTGTCCCTCGACGTCCAACATGACATAAACTGATTCGGGTTTTCTTGGCCGACTTCGACCACTTGTTTCAATCAAAACGAGCTGAAATTAATTAGCTGAAGAGTTCTAGCAATAGTTTTCTTCAAATCCTTCGCACTAAGGTTCATTTCTGTCGGTATTAGAAGTAGTACAAAGTATTTGATGCAGACTATAGCTTGAAATCTTCATCATCGGAGGTTTAAAGGAAAAGGATATTTCTATAAAAAATCAATAATTTTACATTTTGTTTAATTTAAACCTTCAAAGGTAAGAAGCGACAGTTTTAAAGTGATAGAGACTTTTAAAAAAATATGTGTAAAGGAAAAAAGGATACCTAATTCATATCAGCCCGTATTGTCCCTAACCCTATTGAAACAAGTGTTAAAATCAGGCCAAGAAAACCCGAATAAATTTGAATGATGAACTTATAGTCCCTAAAAAACACTTCATGGGCGTCGAAAGCTAATTGAAAGTGGGGAGTGATAATATATAAGGCAATCAATTTTGTGGGGGGGGGGGGGGCACTTGCTAACAGAATATTAAGAGAGGCTATGACCCCCCCCCCCCCCCCCAGTTCCGACGTCTATGCACTCATGGCCTTAAACTCAACATTTAAATATAACGATGATGTATCCTCGATTAAAAATGGTTACAGTTTGTATAAGCACTTGCTAACAGAATATTACAATGTAGTGAGTATGAGAATCAATGCAGATCCATAATATGTATTATATTGATCTCTGCTGAATTTGACCATAAGTTTTCTTATAAAATCTTTAATCCATGACACACTGGTTATAAAATAAGGATGTCTTATTTCCATTTGTGGCACTAACATATCTCTTCATTTGTAATACAAATAAAATGTTTTCTTGAACACCATCTCTTGAGTGATAGCATATGTTGAACAGATTTTAAAATTCCAACCATTATTACCATCAATATTGCAAATCCTTGGACATCTGATTTTTTCTCAGACCCACTGCATTCGATATATAAAAGCTGCGATGAGCTTGCCTAAAAGCATAAGAATACATAAAACATATCATGGCATTTGTAATACAATATCGCAAATCCTTTGACATAATTTGATTTTTCTCTCAGACCCACTGAATTCAATATAACAGAGCTTGACTGTATTTAGACAGTGTGTTGGTATGTAGATAACCTGAATAAACAAAACAAACACAGATTTCTCTTCAGGCTGAGTAATTTTAATGCATATAGATATCCTAATAAAATATATGTTAACTAAATGCTTTTACAAAATCAACCTGATTCTTTGTAACAAAAATGGCACTGACAAATGAATGCACATGCATAGGCACCAGAGAAAAAAAATGTACACATGAAATGATGATGTGAATATGCATCAACTGATGATGTCATTGTTTTTTTAACAAAAATGTCATGACAGGCGAATCAGTCCATATTGTACAAAATAGACACATAATTGATAATAGCTGATATTGATGTGACATGCAAATACACTGTGCTTCTTATAATTCTTCCTTTTCACTGCAAGAAAAATATGCCTTGAGACATGTTACAAGAATATGGACACCCTTGTGCAAGAAAAATGTTCTTGAATCATACTATAGTCATGAATTTTGACTATTCTTACTAATAAATAAATATTGCTTTTGAAACTTATTTTTATTTTATTCATGTACATTGCCAAAATAAAATCAGGAATCAAGTGAATGGGATATTGGGCAGCATCTAGGCACAGCCTAATTTAGCACTCTCCTCGGTCAGGCTTACAATAAGTATTCCTTTTCTTAACTAATATATTTCCATTTTTAAGTTTCATTTATAAATGAACACTTTGTTTTCCTTACCCTGAACAAACACAAGAGAATCCACATAAGATTATTTTTTTTCCTGGTATCAAACATTATATTTATAAATTTCTTTTCATTTTAATTTAATTTTTCTTACTAATTTCATATAATATGATAATAAACCATAATATAAGAAATGAACTAGCATTATAATACATCTACCTAATCAGACCTGACATTATATACAGTTTGTTAGCAGATTGTTAGAAAATAACACATCATCAGATACATGTATATCAACACACACTGACATGGTCCTGTTTATAAGACCAAATCACAATCAAAGATATTTACAATCAAAGATATGCACAAGAAATCACTGGGAAGTTACTGGAGGAGCGGTATCGACTCCTCCCAGGTCTGTCTGTTAGAGACGCCATGCAGTCACATCATGTACGTCGACTCAGATCAAATTGAGCAGATGACGGTGACTGTGATAAATGCTCTATCATTGTCCTGGCAGTGTCATGTTCCTCTTTGAGGGATATTTTGGTAAAGTTTTATACACAGGGGATTTTCGTTTTGACTCAAACATGAAAAAGGATCCACTGATGGAAAACTTGTCTGGTACAGATGTTGTGTATCTAGACAATACTTATAACTCCCCAAGATGTGTGTTTCCATCTAGAGAAGAAAGCCAGAAGCTAATTTTAGGAATTATTCATAGCCATGAAGAATTCAGTGTAAAGACTGGACTGAGAAACTTAGGAAAGGAAGACCTTTTAGTAGCCATTGCTCAGGATCTTCAGGAGTGGATCAAAGTCAGTCTTCTTTCAGGTTCTAGATCTTCCAGATGTTTTTATTACAGGAGAAACAGATGCTAGAATTGAAGTTGTTCCCTTTTACTCCATTTCCAACAAAAAATATTGAGAGGTGGAACAAAGAACAGCCTGCAATAGCTCTTCTTCTTACCTCCCTCAAACAGGGTTAGAGATGAATCCTTTCTGTTACCAGGATAATGTGTTCATTGTGCCATATTCTGACCACTGCTCATTTAATGAGCTCACTGACTTCATAAAGCTCGTCAAACCAAGGTCTGCCTTTTCCAATTGTAAATGACATGAATCGGGGTCCTTTTGGAATTAGTATTTCAGACCGGGCAGATATTTCGGTTTTCAAGCCTAACCTCAGCAGTCCAAGGAAGAAATTTTTTGAAATTCCTGACAGTGTCAATAGGTGGATGTTTGAGAATCGAACCCTACCTCCCTCCAGACTGCTAAACAAGAAACCACTTGCCTTAAAAAGGAAGAGATATCTACAGAGCTTAAAGAGAGGGGTCCATTTTGATGATTCAATGGAGGATTTTTCTTAAGAGAAGACAAAGAAGAAGAAAATTCTCAACAACAAAGGAGGTGATAATAAAAAATCTGGACCAGAGGATAAGTGTGTGCCTACAGCATGTGGGCAAAATGTAGGACAAACTTCTGATAAGGAAAATTAAAAGGGAGAAAACTCTAAGAATTCACATCGTAGAGATATTACAAATCCTAAGAAAAATAAGGTGGAAAAACTTAAAGTAAAGTTCAGTTGGAGAAGTGAAAGTGAAAAAAGGTCTGAAACATTCTCTGAACATGTACAAGAATATGAAAGACATAAAGCATCTTCCAATATGGAGTGTTTAAGAGAACATGAAGAAAAAGGGGACAAGGAGATAGAAAGGGAAAATTCACAAAAAAGGAAAAAACATTCGTCAAAAAACTTTTTAATGTATGTACTGGACACAGACATACCAGAAATGTCAGGCATGGAAAATAAATCTGAATATCCTTCAAAAGAAAACAAGAGTACATGCTGTGGTGTAAAAAATTCAAATGGTCAGAGTAAAGAGACAGCAAAGGTTGATGGGAAATTAAATCCTATCCGGGTTGTTCCGATTGTGTCGAACCCTGAAAAGACAAAGGTTGAGAAGGCTACTAATTATCTGAGAGTCATTCCCATTACTTAAACTTCACAAAATAAGAAACAGAGCAGTGTTACTCTACAGGGTTCTAAGAGAGGACTAGTATTTAATGCTAAGCCATTGTGAAGCACCATTTCAATACATGTATTATTTATTTGATTTATTTATTTTTCATTTTATGATTAATGATGCCTATCTTGTTTTTGACTGTATGTTATTGGCAGCTGACATGAAATAGATCTGTGTC